CCAGTCCTGCTGCAGGACTCGCAGAATGTTTTTCATTGCATATAAAAATAGGAATAGCGATACAAACTTAAGACAGCTTTAAGAAAAGCAGGGGCATCCAGACTGGCCTTAAGCTATGATCACAGGCCATTAAAAGCCTGGACAGCGCTGGTCCAGGGATTACAGTATAAGGCTACTTCCCAGTACCTCATTTTCTGCTGACAAAACCTTTATTCCTGAAAGAGCCACCCATCTATGAGCTAGGATCTTTAAAGGTAGCTCACTGGTGAGTTGTCCATTAGCTCTCCAAGCTCATATCACATGGATTTTCTTGATAGGTTTTTTTGTTAATAGTCACTTTCTTATACCTAAATCCAATAAGTTTGGAAAAGTTACGTCTTTTGTGCCTATACACAAAAATTTCATCTAGTAACCTATATGCTTTGTACTGGGGGTAATTGTCAGTTACAGGCATAATTTCTTTTGTGACTGATACTGTATTACTTGTAAAACCTATTGTTTATGCACCTATATCTATTTAAGTGTAACCACATTAAAAGAGAAAAGAAGATGTGTCACCGTGCCTTTAATTGGAACAATTACATTTCTGCTACCTAGACTGGTGCAGCTAAAGTCACATAGCTATGTTTACCCAAACAGGGGATGGGAGACCAGTGTCAGACCAAGTTAGTACCAGCAAGCTGTGCAATAACGAAGTAATAACTGAATTCAGCTTTTATGGTACAGGATTAAAGACTGTACTGATAGCTCTGCATTTCTCCTCCCATGTGTTGTGGTCAAATACTGGATGTTAGAAAGGAGCGTAACTCCCTTTTTCCCCACTGCGAGTTTCCAAACAAAGAACCTTACAGTAATATTTCTCCAGTATAGTTTCTAGCAACCTGCAGCCTCTGACACAGGAAGTCCCTACACCTCTTCCACCTGTGCTGTTAATAGCCATTTGAGGATTTTCTTTCAGGGACTTGACATGATGCCTTTTTGAACTTACGTAAACTTTTGGCATGAACATCATCAAATGCTACGATCTGCATAGACTAACTGTTACAAAAACACTTATGTTCTTTTTGTCTAAAACCTGTCACCTGGTATTTTCTCGTACTGTCTCTTAATTTTAACTTTAATAAGCAACCGTGTACAGCTGTTCTTTATGCACATTCTCCATGTCACCCATGTGTGACACCAGTGAATCTGCTGTCCTCTCTTTTCTAGGCCAAGGAGTCCATCTGTTCCTTCTGTGAAAAGCCTTTTCATAGCTTCATTCATTCTTGCTGCCCTCCTGAGTCTCTCTCCTGGTTATGCTACACTTTTTCCAAGAACAAGAGAGCATATAGTATTCCAGATATAGAAGCGCTATACACGTCTAGTTTTACATTGTATTCCTTACTGTTTTTCCTAATAATTCCCAGCATTATTTTGGCTGTTACTGAGAAATCAGCTTTTGTTCTCATAGAACGATCTACTGGGCTGCCATCTTATTAGTCAGTGCTAAAAGAGGCCAATACTGTGTATGCAAAATTTGGGTACAGTTCCTGTTCCTTTCCCATGGTAAGTGCCAATTTGATCAACAATGAATTTAATCTGGATTTTCTGCTCTTACAGGCAATTCTTTCTCTAAGGGTACAAGAGCCCACCTCCTACACGTTTTCTCTAATGTATAGCATTGGATCTCCAATGGCAAAATTTCCTGCATTTCCTATTAGAATAGAGATATTCTGATTTTCCAAGTTTCTGATACATCTCTTGTGTCTGAAAGCTTGTTTAAAACTAGGCGTTCTGATTCCTTTTTTTTTTTTCTTTTTCCTAAGCATTTGTATAGAAGCCCCACACACACTAAATACATTTTTCCTCTTTAAATGGAGCTTACTTGTTCAGGTGCCTCATCTTTTCAACACAATTTCTAACTTCTTCCTTTTTATCTGAAGATTCTGCTTTTCTTTACTCCAACTTCAGAAACGTCATTCCTGGTATGCTGCTTGGCACCTGTCTGCGTTCTCAAACTAAACAAAACTTGCCCAAAAACTTCTTTGTTTTACATGTGAGAAACTTCATTCTGTTTTTGCTAGATAAAGCCTGTTCTTGCATAGGAGAAAACTTAGAAGACAGAAACCTATGTTCCTCATGACACTAAGTCCCCCTTACATGTACCATTTTCCCAAGCAATTATTTTCTTTTAGAAGATACTCTGTAAATACAATTTTAAGTAGCTAATGCTTTGAGCTTATCTGTTCATTGGACTTTCTAACATGCCCTGCTGTTGCATCATAAATACCGACCAACCAATGCTTTATCTAAGTGTTACTTGGGAGAAGAAAGGAAAATGGAAGCCCTTTAAACAGTGGGTTATTAACTGATGTTGAAAGCAAGCAAAGGGCGAGCACTCAAGTTGACCAGTAGTGGGGTTAGGCAGCGCAAATACTCTCCAATAAACTACAGAATTTGAATTTTCCAAACTGAGTGAGGACTCCTGCCACCTGCTTTATTTAGCAGATCAATGTAACAGTGGTTTAAACACTAGCAGTTTCTGACACTGTTTATCTACAGACTGCTGCTGCCACTAATCAGTTGCACAAATAATAACCACAGTGGAAAGCTTGTTTAATTTGGGTTGTACACTTAATGATCTCCAGATGACAGTAATATTGAAGCTGGGTTATATAAACTGAAGTATCAACAACTTAAATAATATTGGTGTGCTTATTTTTTGTAGTAGTGTTTTCTTACAGTTTGAGATTGTAGAAGTGCGTTACACTTCTCTAGATCCCAAATGCCAGTTTAATCTCTGACTTTAAAGCAGCAGTTCTGAAGTTTCAGTATGAAATCATTCAACTTTTTAACGATTTCAAACCTAAGTATAGAGCACTGTTTCAAAGTGCAGTAAGAACTGTATAGTATGTCTACAAAATAAGGGTATAGTTAAGCTAAATCAATATTGATCCTAAAATTCCCAACTGAACTGCAGCGCTGATGGAGTATTCCAAAAGTTTTGTCACACAACGTTTTGACCTTCAGTCCAATTTTCTATAAAAATTCAACTTTTAGTAGTATTGGTTTTTTGCATGTTGGTGCTTAGGTTACTAGCGACTGTCTATTTTTTTTGCCATATGTTAACTGACATGAAGTTCAATACGGGATTTGTATACCACAGACTGAAACCTGTAGTCTACAGTATTAAAGCAAAACCAGCTATTTTCAGCTAATGAACTAGTTGTGATCCGATTAACAGTTAACATAACAGTAGCTCACACTTTCAACCATATTTTCACAGGATGAAGAGCCTGAGCACCCAGAAGTACATAAGTGGAAGATTTTCAGATTAATGTAATTAATATAACTAATACTGCAACTATAGCAGTTTGCGTACAAGGACATTTCAAATTTCCATATAACTTCCTTCAAAGGTGCAACCTTTTCACTATTAAAAGACCCTTTCAAAGTTGTTATTATCACCTCTAGGATGTTACTTTTGTGTTACATGGATCACCTTGTGTTTCTGACTAAATACATTTATGGCATATTAGGAGTAAGAATTCAGAAGCACTACCACATGGCTTCATTAAAAGCTAGTGCTGTCCTAGTGTAAGGTTTCATTTAATTATTTCTCCTGTGCAGTGAATGCTTTTTGAAATGTCAGTCTGAAGTGCCCTTTACAATAGTGAAAGTCAGCCTGTTCTAACTAGTGGTTGTAAAGGAATGTTGATAAACTTATTTATTCCTATTACTGCAGCAATTGCATTACATACTTTAAAAAAACCCCAAACATCCCCCTGAAGTGACAGTAGCAAATTTAAATACATAATTACTTTTGGTAAACTACAAAAATCTCTCTCATTTGTTCAAAGAAACATTCCGATCCACAAAAAAAATAAAATTCTAAAAATTGATTCTATAAACACTCACTTATCACTTGATATGCTGCAGTCTATAACTGTTCTTTTGCTAGTGTTGACTATTAAGAAAGGCAGCTGTATGGTGGAGTTCAAAGCTGGAGGGCCTTGATTTTGTTGTTCATTTTGCTGATTTCTTTGCACCAAGTTTTTGAAAGCTATTTGCTGTAGAAAGAAAGACAGAAAAAAACGATCACTGACAATAAAAGAACAGATGTCAGTGTTTCCAGCAAGTGGAACTTCATCACTCTTATTTACCAACTCTCAATACCTCCGGTAATTTTCTGTCAAAAAGTAAATTGTGGCCTGACTTCTCTTCGCACCAGTGAAGCTCACCAGGAACAGAAGTTAAACACAAATTGTTCACACATACCCCTTCATTCCTATGTGGGTGGGCTATGCCCCCCTCACAATCCCTGGAGAAGAAACAAGAAAGGAACTTGGTGGAGAATGGATCCCTGTTGCTTTTGAAAAGGCATTGGAGTCAAGAGGTCTTCTCTGTTACTTTCTATGCGTAATAACCTCAGACTAGGAGCTAGTTACACTGAAACAAAAGTTAACAGAAATTACAGCATTCCCCTCCTCCTATCATTTATCTTCTCTTCCCCTTCTCATCCATCACCCTCTTTTCTCTCTCAAAAGAATTTTTAAATTCTCCTCTGAATGTTTTTAAACAGGTGCTGTTCATGACACCACTCACTCTCTACTGACTGCCTATGTATGAAAATGTGTGGTTTTAGGAAATGTTATTTGAAGGATTGGAAGTCGGTGTACTTACTCACTTTGAGGCGCTATTTATTCCGCTTAAGGGAAAGATGGATAGACAGAATCCCAAAGGACTGGTAAACCATTTGACAATGAACATAATCAAGGAAATAATTACAGTTGTAGTAAGGGAATGCATCTCTCATCATTTTCAGACTAAATAGTTAAGAGGGCCTGAGTTGCTTTATTTTCACCAGGGTAATTTCATGTTACTCTTAGAGAAGCTGCTAACTGAATTTATTAGGTCAGACAGATAGAACCAGAATTGTGCCCTAAGCAGGGAAACAGTTTTGGGTGATTAAGAAAGGAGCTATTTAAAAGATATTTAAAAGTTTCAGCGTGTATCTAATTAGATGCAAATTGTATCAATATAGTTGCACCTGGCAAAAAATATAATTTTTTTGCCTGTATCCTCATTAAAAAGTTTGGCAAAAAAATATAACCTTTTTTGCCTGTATGCTCATAAAAAAGTTTGATTGCATTTAAATTACTGAATGTCTGCACAGACCAAAACACTTGAGAATGCTCATAACTGTATTTATAAAATGTTACTTTACTTTATAAGCAAAGATGCATTTGAAATATGTTTCTGCAAAGCCAGAACTCAAGTCATCTCAAAGGTGCATGTCAGAATGTAAAAGAGATGGATTTGCCACCATTCCACTCTGAGGATCCAGAGATGTCTATCATCTCCCCCCAAACAACTCTGTACACATTTACACAAGTTCAGTTGTAAACTTCATAGCTTAGAATCAAAGAGAAATTTTCCAGTAAGAACTAGTCAGAGAAGGTAACTCGGGGCAGGGAGAGCTTGGAGCCAACAAAGGGTACTCGTGCGTTGCTCACAGAGCTTCAGCAGAACACCTACAAAAGCTTGTGGCGCGCACGTTTTACAACTGGTAAAAATGAACCAGAAAGTGAGGGTAAGAGGTCCCTTGACTAGAATCCAGACAGGTCACAAGCATGAAACTTTTCTCCCTAGTATATCATAGCTGCTAAATAAATCTAAAAAGAACTTCAGAAGTTCTAACGTGTTGGATTTGCACTTGATAATTTCATTTATAGAAAAAATTAAATATACCTGCAGCAGCAGTTCTTGTAGTTGGGCTCGTTTCTGTTTTATCCTTTCAATCCGCTTCTGTTTTTCTATCTTAAAATATAAACATAAATGTATCAAGATATATACTTAGTTACCCTGTTGGTTCCATTGGGCCAAACTGAACAGGCTTTAGAGCTACATCAGTGTGCTAGCACCATTACAGAAGTCCATACTTTCTTTGTAAATGGTGGTGAATTCCATGGCACAGTAAGCAAATTGGAAAAGGCTTTTCAGCCCTACCCATTTGCTGTATATTTTCTTCTTTTTGAAACAGACTAATCACATAGTCACATGAGTTTCTCCATAAAACAGGTCTGACAAACTGTAATTTCTTTCTCTGTCAACAATTTTAACTCCAGTAAAGAATCAGTTATTACAAGAGAATGTATTATTTCCCCACACACTCCTCCTCTTTTGCACTGTGCACCAAGTGCCGATTAGCACCAAATTAAACACTTGCTTGAGGGGGTGCTTTGGGTTTTTGGGGTACTGTTTTGGAATTGTTCATGTCCCTTCCACTGTTCTAGCTGCAAGGTACCAGACATAAATGTGTGGAGACTGGGCTCAAGATCATCACCTGCATCCTTCCAGTAACCTCCACTTTTTGTTCAGACTACTCATTTGAGACTTGATTAAACTAATAAGATTTCAGCAAGGAAAAGGGGGTAGAGGTGACACTTGCTACGTGACCACAGAATCCATTTCTTGTAATGGTTTTGTTAATGCTGGTTATCTTCAACCTAAATATGCAGTGTTTGGGACAGCAGTAGTGCTGGATGCGTACTGACACTACAGATACAACCAACGGTATTTTAAATAGTGCTCTGGGGCAGCACTAAAGAATTGGACAGTAGTCATCATGTTTAAAAGGTATTTTTCCTTGTCATCCTGTTGGTCAGCACTATGTCACTGCTCCCCAAAATATCAAACTCTTAAATTACCTTTTCATTCAACCACTGAAACGAAATGATGCAGTCTTTTAAAACTTAGCTGACCTAAACTCCCTAATTTTATTTACAACGTTGTTTTATAGTGGTTCCGCACCTGCACTTCCTTCAGAGCACAGTAGATGATTTTCTTTACTGGGACAAATATGTAACTCTTGAAACCAACAAACAGTACAGATGATTTAGACACAGTTTCTACGTAACAAGCTTTTTTGTAATGATTTCTCATTTTTGTAATGGTAATCTTATTATGGAATTACACTGTAAGAAGAGCTGGCACTTTATACAGCTTTAAAAGCAAAATTAATTCTGATTTTCACACCATGAAAATGCAGCTTCATTTTCTGTTCTGTTATATTGTGTCACAGGAAGCAACATTTTAAGAAAATATGCCTAGCTTCCATTTTATTCGTATGTAATTAGAGCCAGGAACAGTGACTAACACAGGATCATTGTAGATGACACAATGAAATTCAAGTTCTGTATTTGTAACAATAACCTATACTGAAAGATAATGCATTCACATGAATGCATGTAAAATGTAGATTTATCCATCATTTTTTTAAAAAAAGAATCCTGGAGTATAATGATTGAGCATAAGCCTACTCCTTGGGTGGATGTATTTTCCAAGTTGCTGTAACGGACAAGGATAATAAAAGCTTTTTTCTTACCACATCTAGGAAAAGAATTGATGTAAATGAACCTGCACAAAAACACCTGTTCTGTACTGGAGAGGCACCCCATCCACCCTTTAAGATATTAAATGTCGCAAGTATCACAAATATAATACATACTAAGATGTATTTACAGACAGTCATTACAGCACTCTGCTGTAAATACAGTAACTTGTGCTTTTTATTTATAGAGCATTTGGCCTGAAGGACAAGCAACATTTGTGCTCATAGATTCTGGCATCCCTGCAAAAACATGGTAACTCCTAGCCTGCTGGAAAAATAATGGAAATAACCAATAAGTAAAACTTCATTTCTTTCCCTGCCAGTTCATAACTAGTATTTGACATCCTAGCAGGAATTATTTTTCAATTTAATTTTTTTTGAACAGCACTGCCAATTACAGACATCAATAGAAAACTGGTCTCCTTTTAAATGTATACCATTTTGTAAGCATAACTGGACCATATATTCTTTTGACTTTCTTCTGGTTAATTCAGACTACTATAGACTTTAACTTAAAAGTAATCCCAAATTTAATCAATGTCCATTTTTGTAAGGTAAAGTTTTTTTAAAACCTCATGTGATGGATACTAAATAAAACTGAACTAAGCATACATAAACATATCCTTTCAGTTTATTCAAATATCAAAAGTTATATTTTCATAGCGTGCAAGAATCAAAACCAATCAGGTTCAAATTAAGGAAGAAAAAAAACCCTCTTCTAAAGTAGAGCAGCTCCGTTATCACCACCTGTGAGCTATACAGAATTTCCCATCTACCTCACTTTACCTCTAGATTCTGACATTCCTGAGCTGAGTTTGTAGGAAGGCCGATCCATCTGATTTCCTTCTTCTCCTTTGAAATTATGTTCATTGCCATCAGGACATTAAGGGCATCGTAAACTCTCCGTCTAATATTCTTCTGATCATAAGCCTGCTAAGAAAACAATACAGCATTCGTTACAACAAAAGAATTCAAAAAGGAAAAAAAGACTGAACATACCCTTCATAGATCTGTGGAAGAGAAAAAGCCAAAATGGCCGTTCAAGGCAGAGTGGTATTACAACACCATGCCTTCATCTGTGCTACTACTTGGATACCACATGGGCCTGTTTGGTTGCGAATGGAAGCCTCAGGCCTGCTTGAAGCCTCTGTGCAGCCAATTCCCATCATGGCAAGTCTGTTACGGTTGAAAAGCTTGACAAGACCACATGTGATGAGTGCAAGAGTAGCCTTTTTTTAAAGATAATTCTTTTGGCAGACTTCTCTGTTTTGTTTATAATTCAGAGGGAGGTCAATTCTTCATTTTAATTCTGTATTTTTAAATTTCAGAGGGTAAGTCTTTCTATTTGGGAAGTAGTTAAGTAAGTGAAGGAAAATATGGGGGGTGGCAGGACAGTGCAGAAACAGAAGGGACAGAATTCCATGATAAAGCAGGCAATATCATAATGCTGTAACAAATTTCAACACGTATTTGCTTACCGAATCTGTAGCTAGGTGGCTGTTAGAATTTGTGAATTCCGATACCAGCTCATCAGCGACTTCATTGTATGAAGTTGTTCCTTTACGTTGAACTTTTTCACATACTTTCATTGAAAAATGCCTCAGACCTTTCCCATTTTTATCGCCTTTTTTGCTTCTCTTACTGGAAGAAGAAAACTAATTATTTCAATACATTGAATGTTAATAGGCTACTTTGTTACACAGCAAAAGGTCTACCTTTTGC